TTTGAAAATCTAGGGAATTTTGTAAAGGTTATCTCTTTGTCATTAAAAAAGAAAGAACAAATTAATGGATTTGTTGGAAAATCCTTAGTGAGGAGCTAAGGTAATGGAGGTTGACTTAGTTGAGAAGTCGAACCACTATAAATCGCTGTGCAAAATTGTCTATCTTTCTTTTTCCTTACTCCATAAACAATTTTTTCTTTTTCACCATTTTGTACAATTTTCGGTTGTCAAAATTGAGCTTCAACAATCCCAACAATCTTGATATAAAAATTAAGGCAAAATGTTTTTAGACTTGATTGAATTTGTTCAAAGTTTTCAAAAGTTTTTAAATATAATTCAAAGTCTATTAAACTAGAATTTGAGCACAAAACTATTTTTTAGTACGTAGTACCGATATTGTTCTTACAGTATTGATACTATATGAACAACACCGATACTGTTCATGTGGTATCTATACCAAAGGTAATATAAATATCGATACTCTCTAGGTAGTATCGATACTACCAGTTGTTTTCCAAATTGCTCAAATTCCATAATGCAAAATAGGTATAGATACTCAAAGGGGTACTGATACTACTTTACATAGTAGTATCGATATCATGAAGTATAGTATCGATACTGGTCAAGCCTAACGGTCTTTAACGGCTACTTCATTTAAATATTACAAAGGTAATATCGATACTCATTAAAGAAGTACAAATACTCCTTGTCCTGGATAATTTTATTTTGAAGAATATTAATTCCCAATAGCTCCAAAACATCCCCATTGGATAAAAACAACCACAAACTCATTCCAATATATAAAAACAAGTCGAGAACACTTGAAGTAGAGTTAGAACATCTATCCAAGCAATCAAACACAAGAGAAGAGTTTTTAATTCTTATTTTTTTCTCTTGTAAATATTAGTGTTTTAGTGAGCTTAATATTTGTAAACACATTCCTTTGGAGAGGTTTTTCTTGTTTACATTTTTATCCTTTTGTAAAGGGGATTGATTCTAGCTTAGCATGTGAAAAGCTAGGGAGTTGTAAATGTTATCTTTTGATCCTGTAAAAAGAAATAATAAATTAGTGAAATTATTAGAAAATCCTAAGTGAGGAGCTTAGGTACGTTATGTAGACTCGGTTGAGAAGTTGAACCACTATAAATCCTTATGGTCATTGTTTATCTCTTTTTACTCCTTACTCCCTAAACTCAAAAAAAACTAATTCACCCCTTATTGGCAAATCATCCGTTTGTCAATTTGAGCTTCATCGAAATCCCAACCATTACTATCAGAGCTTGACTCATTAGAAGGTCTAACAACCTTGAGATGATCCTTGAATAAGCTCTGTCTATTTTCGACACAAGCAAGAAAATGACCTCCTCTTCCGGCTCATTCCACATGGAAGACTCCCAACCGATCGACAAGTCTCCATACTTCAATAGAGCTAACTACCGTCATTGGAAGAAATTAATGAAACTATTCATCCAATCCAATGATCTTGACGCATGGGAGATGATCAAGAATGACTACTCTTCTCCAAAGAAGAAGATGAAAGAGTGGAGTGCTTGAGAACGGAATAAAACTCAACAAAATGCTAAAGCCATGCACATGTTGTTTTGTGCATTTGGTCCCGATATCTATGAAGGAGTTTCTTCTTGTTCAAATGCCAAGGTGCTTTGGAATAAGCTCGAAGAACTTCATGGAAACAATAAAGAATAACCAACAAAGACGGTGTGCTTAATGGCTTTTGAAGAGCATGATGTATATTCTAACTCTAGTGAATAAATTCTTATTCTTTTGATGAGTTACAAGTTGCCTATGATGAGTTGTATTTGGAATTTGAGACCATGAATTCCAAATATAAGAAACTAATTTCAAATTTTAAAGTTGAAAATGATTTGGTTTTGAAAGAAAAAGTTGATTTTGAAAAACAAAATGAAACTTTAAAAAATGATTTAGAGCTTTTAAAAAATCAAAATCAACGATTTAGAAAAAGAAAAAAATTGATTTGAAAGTTAAATTTGAAAGCTTAACAAAGGAAAAATAATTAATTTCTAGAAACAACTCATTATATTTAAAAATAGCAAAATGCTCACATTGCCATTTTCATGGTCACTTGGAACATACTTATCTTTTAAAGAAAGAAAAACGTTTTAAAATTAAACAAGTATGGGTTCCAAAAGGAACAAGGGGCATTGAAACTAACGTTCAAGGATCCAAAGCAATTTGAATACGAAAATCCAATTAAATATCTCTTGTAGGTGTGTAGGAGCAATGGTGATAAAAGTAAAGATATTCAAATGCTCTAGCCACACTTGAAAAGGAATGGTAACCTCTAAGCTTAATGTTTTTGTTTTGATTAATTGGTTGTCTATTTGTTGTATGCATGCATGAGATTTGATTTTAATTATTTTATGTTTTCTATCTCATGTATGTTAAAAAGTGTTGTGATGAACATTTTCTAAAATTTTAATGATTTTTCATAATTTTTAGTTTATTATAATGAATTTTGGTTAAAATTGGTTTTAATGCTTTATTTTTACAAATTTTAATTTTTGACCTTAATTTAAATGTTTATGCATATGATTTAATGCAAATGCAGGGCTAGGACGCTGGAGGCCCTGTGCAAATTCTTAAAAAGAGTGCAAATTATTTGTCCTAGCAATTACAAAGCTTGAATGCATTATATATAGGGAGATTAGTGATATTACTAACTCAAATCCTAACGGTGTGGGATAGGGAGATCATGAAGATGAACTCATTTCTCGTAAAGTGGAGTTAGACCACAAAAAAGAGAGATTTTTATTGTAATAAATCTATTTTTTTGGGCCCTTTGCTATTATGGGGCTCTGTTCCGTCGCTCAAGTTGTGCTTGTCCTAGCCCCACCTCTGTGCAAATGATATCTCTCCAACAATTGATATCAATTTTTCAAATGCATAACATTTTTTGGATAACTTTATGCACATGCACTTAAATACTATAACTGGTATTGCATAAAGTTTATTAGACTTTGATATATTGAATTTCATGTGCTACTAAAATGCTTGTTCATCTTTGTTAAAATTGATTTTTTTTAAATGTCAAGCTTTTAATGTCAAGTTTGGAATGCTTTTATTGAGAGGGAGCTTTGATTTTTCAAATGATTTTAATGTCAAATTTACCACTTACTATTCATTGTTATTTTTGAATTTTAAAGTTGAATTATTTTTTATATAACAAAAAAGGGATGAGTATATGTTTGAAAAATTCAATTTCTTAATGAAAAATGGGGAGCTTTAATATTTTTCCAAACATTTATCTTTTTCATGAAATGTTTTATTAAGGGGGAGTTTTGCCAAAAACAAAATTTCAAATGTTTTGTCATATAAAAAGGGAGAGATTTTTGAAATACATTTTATAATATTTTGATATAACAAATTAAGACAAAATATTTTTGGACTTGATTGAATTTGTTCAAAATTTTCAAAAGTTTTTTTAGTACGTAGTACCGATACTGTTCTTACAGTGTCGATAATATATGAACAACACCAATATTGTTTATTTGGTATCGATACCAAAGGTAAGAGAAATATCGATACTCTCTAATTAGTATCGATACTACTAGTTATTTTCCAAATTGCTCAAATTATAGAATGCAAAATAGGTACTGATACTCAAAGGGGTACCGAAACCATGAAGCATAGCATCGATATTGGTCAAGCCCAACGATATTTAACGGATTTCATTTAAATATTACAAAGGTAGTATCGATACTCATTAAAAGAGTATCGATACTCCCTGTCCTGGGCAATTTTTATTTTGCATAAAATTAATCCCCAATGGCTAGAAACGACCATAAACTCATTCCAACATATAAAAACAAATTGAGGACACTTGAAGAAGGGTTAGAACACCTATCAAAACAATCAAACACAAGAGAAGAATTTTTAATTCTTATTTCCCTTTCTCTTGTAAATATTAGTGTTTTAGTGAGTTTAATCTTTGTAAACATATTCCTTTTGAGAGGTTTTATTGTTTACATTTCTTATCTTTTTTGTAAAGAGGATTGTTTTTAGCTTAGCATGTGAAAAACTAGGGAGTTGTAAATGTTATCTCTTGATACTGTAAAAAGAAAGAACATAATTTCTTAAAAAATCCTAAGTAAAGAGCTTAGGTAGTGAGTGTAGACTTGGTTTAGAAGTTAAACCATTATAAATCTTTGTGTATATTGTCTAACTCTTTTTACTCATTACTCCCTAAACTCAAAATGCTAATTCACCCCCTCTTGATAAATCATTCGGTTGTCAATTTGAGCTTCAACAAAATCCCAACAATAAGGTTATACAATATAAATGGGTTTGGTTTACTTGTTCAAGACGTGAAACTTGTGAACAAAACAAAGTTTACCATGTACTTAATTAGAAAAGGAATAATAGCAGATTTGCGCCTTAAAATTTATCAAATCTTTTAATGTGGTACCTTACTTTATAAATATATAATGTGTTTTGTATTTTTCTTCTCTTTCTAATAGAATGTATATTAAAATTATACATAAATTTTGATTAGATATAAAATTATATTTAAATTTTGATTTACTTTAATAATATATATAATATTTTATTTTTTTATTTTTTTATTTTTGATATATCACTAGCATCATTATCTCCGTGATATTATTTTTTAAACCACAATAACAATGATGACATTATGTTTTATTAGAAAAAAATAAATAAATTTTATGTTTTAGGCCGATGTCTCTTGTAATCATACTTTATTTGATAAATCTAATTTTTATTAACTCATTAAATGAATAAGTGTTAAGCACCTCAATCACATAAAAAATATTTTTTTATACTTTAGATTAATATTTTTAATTTATCTCTCAAATTACTTAATTTTTTAAATCAAAATTAGATAAAAATAATAGTTTGAAAGATAAATTAAAAAATAATTTAAGGTATAAATTAAAAAATGAGGTTCCCTCTGGATGGCTTGAATTTGTGCTTACGTGACTAGGAATGCATATTTTTTGCAGATGGATATTCCTATTAATGTCAATTGGAGCTTTAAAAGCATGTTGAAACTAAGGCATGCTATTTCTCATCTATTTGTTGGTTCAGGCAATGATTTTAAAACTGGGCAGATTTGGGAGGATTTACGTGTTAAAGTTCCAAAGGTTCCACGGCATAGCCTGGTTTGGTTTCCAGGACGTATTCCCAATCACAATATCATTGTGTGGATGGCTATTCTAAATAGGCTTCCTACCAGGGTAAGACTTTTGAGAATTAGATTAAGCATTGAGAATGATAAGTGTGTACTTTGTGGTGCTGAGGTTGAGATTAGAAATCACTTGTTCTTTGATTGTGGTTTTATAAGGGAGTTGTGGGATGATATCCTTACTTTGTGTGGTGTAACTCGCAATGTTAGTTGCTGGAAAAGGGAGTTGGCATGGACTATTCACTGTTTTAAAGGAAAATCTCTCATTGTGAGGGTGTTTAAGCTTGTTTGGGTTGGTCATGTGTATGACATGTGGAACGAGAGAAATACTAGACTTTTTGGGGGCAAAGTTAGATTGGTGGGTGATGTGTTGAAGGACATCAAAGAAACTATTCAGATTGAAAGAATGAGCTATTAGCTTATCATAAGAACGATTCCCTTTGTGTGAAATAGGTTATTTCTTAAGGTTCACTTGTAATGGTTGTTTCCTTTGTTATTTGTAATGGAAGGAGTTAAACTATTGATTGTGTAGCAGGTTTCTGCTTTTTTTGGATAATAAAATGAAATTATCCAAAAATATATATATTGATGGGCGTTTTTCCTGAAAAATCACCGGTGATCGATATATTTACCGATCTAACACCGGTCAGATTATATTTCCCGATCTAACACCCGTAGCAGTAAAGCGCACCCATTGCCCCGCGTTATAGGCTGATTTGGCGCCACGTGGGGTATAGCGCCCCCTGTACCACGCTATACGCTGACATGGATTACACTTGTGTATAGCCCCCTTGATATGCGCTATACGCCACGTAAGGGTATAGCGCGGATCAGGGGCCTCGCTATACCTGGTTATCTGACACGTGGGGTATAGCGCGGTACAGGGGGCGCGCTATACCTTTAATTACCCACCCGTTCATACCTCAATCCTCTCTATAAATACCCCCATCCTCAATCACTTTCATCACACCAAATTCACTCAAATTTTCTTAATTTCTCTCAAATACTCTCTCTGTTTAAGGTATATTTTATAATATTTTTAATATTATGTATTTAATTTATTTAAGTATTTTACTAATATAATTTTTTTGCAAATATATAATGGAAGACAATCTACTTCGCTTGGATGAAAATCATATATCTTGACACTTTGCTGATATGGTAACATTTTAACGTTTTAATTTAATTATATTATTAGTAATAATTAGTTGATTTATTTAATGCATGATTATTAGATTAAGAATTAATTTTTGTAATTATTTATTTTTAGGAGAAGGACCGTGTATTAGATCATTTTATTAGGAATCTTAAGTTAGTGATACCTAGCCGTGTCTTGTCGTATTTAGTAGAGGTTGGATTTGGTTATATAGGAAGATATCAGGGTTACTGTAAGATAGAACCATACCTTATTTCTGCCTTAGTAGAGCGGTGGAGGCCGGAGACCCACATAGTCTATATTCCGTGCGGAGAGTGCACGATCACGCTTGAGGATGTTTCTAGGCACCTGGGGCTTCCAGTGGATGGAGATGTGTGTTGAAAACATTTTGATATTTCGATATAACAAAATAAGTTAAATGAATTTTAAGATTTTCCAAAAAGATTTTCTAAGTATATTCGATATAATTATTCGAATATCAAAATAATACTCCAAATCTTTCAAATGTCATTTTTAATCCTTACTCAAGTGTAAAATTAAGTTTTAATCTTAAAATAATTTCAAAACGATTTTACAAAATATTTCGAACCATCTCAAAGCCAAAAATTCCAGATTGCTCAGAGGGAACCGATTCCTCCCCAAGGGGGTACCGATTCCCCCTGTTTAATGGTCGAAATATTTGAATTTTACACTTAGGGAACCAATTCCCCTTAAGGGGTACCGATTCCCCCCACGCTCCAAACTGTTTTATTAATTGATTTCACACTAAAACGGTTATATTATCTTCATTAATGATCCTCAACGTTCAGAAGTGATTCAAGGTGTATTTAAGCAAGCTTAGAGGCCATTGATCAATAACAAGAAACATCAAGAAACTAGAATCAAGAGAGAATCAAAGAGAAAGCATCAAACCTCAAGTTTGAGCATTTGAAGCCTATTTTTCATTCAATATTCATTTTGCTTTCAAGAACACTTAGTTTGCTCAATTGTATTCATTCTTGAGTGTTCTTTTCTTTGTTCTAGAATTGTGCAAACAATCTTCCTTGTGAGGATTTCCTTATAAGTTTGCAAATTTGTATTGTTCTCTTTGGGAGAGACTGTTATCAAGAATTTGGGGTATAATTCTTGAGGGTTTATAAGGTTACTCTTTGTCCTCAAAAGAAAGACAAATTAGTGAATTTGTGGAAAATCCTTAGTGTGGATAGCTAAGGTAGTGGACGTAGACTTTGGTTGAGAAAGTTGAACCACTCTAAATCGCTGTGTAATTTCTTTCAATTTTCTGCAAAAGCTTCCACCAAAATTTTTATTGTCAATTCACCCCCCTCTTGGCCGATTCCGTCAATCGATTAACTCAACAATTGGTATCAGAGCCTAACTCATTTGAAGGTTTAATCGCCTCTTGAGTCGATTCGAAAAGAGTTACATCGATAATCAAAGTTATCAATGGCCTCTACTTCAAACTTCGACTCCGGTCTCGATTCAATGCCCGTCAACAAGCCTCATTTCTTCAATGGGGCTAATTATGCCTATTGGAAAAATAGGATGATGTACTTCATTCAAGCAAGTGATAAGGGATCATGGAATGTCGTAGAAGAATGATACTTCAAGGCTCTCACTCATCCAAGATTATGGAGTGAAGGAGAAACAAAAATGTTCCAGCTCAACTTCAAAGCCATCCATATCATATTTTGTGCTCTTGGACTAGATGAATACGGAAGAGTTTCATCTTGTACAACCGCCAAAGAAATATGGGACAAACTTCAAGTCACTCATGAAGGTACCGATGAGGTAAAGAAATCTAAAATCAGTATTCTAACGCATATCTATGAAAATTTCAGGATCAAACCAAATGAAGATATCAAAGCTATGACGGATAGATTCTCAACGATTTTCAATGGTCTCAAATCATATGGAGAGATCATTTCAAATGAAAAGCTTGTGAGGAAGTTAGTCTACTTCCTCCCAAAATCGTGGCAATCAAAGAAGACGGCAATCATCGAGTCTAAGGATCTAACATCCTTAACTCTTGAAGAGCTAATCGGTTCACTCCTCACTCATGAAATGATGCTTGAAGATGAGGTGGACCTTGATAAGATTGAAGAGACACCAAAGGAGAATGAGAAGAAGAAAAACATTGGAGTTGCTCTCAAATCCACAAAAAATGAGACTGATTCGGATGAAGATGACGATGACGAGGAAATGGCATTGTTTGCCAAACGGTTCAGAAAAATGATGAGACCTTACCGAGGAAGAAAATTCAAACGAAATGAAGGCCTAAAAAATGAACCAAAAGAGAAGGACCCGATCATTTGTTATGAATGCAAAAAGCTGGGGCATGTCAAATATGATTACCCACAACTGAAGAGAAAGGGTAAATCAAAAAATAAGCACAAGGCTCATATGGCTACATGGAGCGATGAAGAAGGTTCCAATGAAGAGGAACAAGAAGTAGCAAACTTGTGCTTGATGGCATTCGGGGAAGATTCTAAGGTAACCTCTAACTCATCTGATTTTGATAATTTATCCTATGATGAGTTATTAGAGGAATATAATGGGTTGGCTACGGATTATGAGAAATTGTTTTTAAAATATAAAAATGATGTTTCAAAATTGAAAAATAAAAATAAACTCATATCCAAAACCAACAACGATCTTGAAAGTAAAATCAAAGATTTGCAAATCAAACTAGAAGAGTTTGAAAAGAAAATTTTGGATTTACAAAATTTTCTTTCAAAGATAAATGATGATCATCAAATGAAAATTGATGATCTTAAAACTTCTTTTGATAAAGTTGGAACAAAACGTTTTGAAAATGGAGAAAATTCAAAATCCAACTTTGTTAGAAAAAGTTTTAAAAACTACAATCATAGAGGTCCCCAAAGAACCTCTAATGGAAAAATCGTTAGAAGTATATGGGTTCCTAAAGAGATCATTACTACTAAAGATAAGGATATTCTACACAAATGGATACCTAAGGGGACTAGGATTTTGGAAACTAATGAATATGAACCCAAAAGAATTTGGGTACAAAAAATTAGAAATTAATCTATGTTTGTAGGAAAATGAGCATTGCTACAAGGCACGGGAAACAAATCCAAATTCATGGTACCTTGATAGTGGATGCTCAAGATATATGACCGGAGACAAAAACCGGTTCATTAAGCTTAACGCCAAAAATGGAGGAGAAGTGACTTTTGGTGATGATTCAAAAGGTCACATTGAAGGTATTGGTACTATTGGTAATACCTCTTCCATACAAATTAAGAATGTTTTATATGTGAATAGATTAAAGCATAATCTATTGAGTATTAGTCAATTTTGTGATAAGGGATTCAATGTCATGTTTGATATTAATGGTTGTAAAGTCATTGACATTGCATCTAATCGGATTATGCTTGTTGGTCATAGAATAGGAAACATATACATGGTGCACTTAGATTCTATTGATATGACTAATTTGTGCCTAGTTGCTAAGAATGAACATGATAGTTGGTTATGGCATAGGAGACTAGGACATGCTAGTATGAGTGTTTTGCAACGGCTAATTCAAGGTGATTTAGTTTGAGGGTTGTCTAAGCTTAAATTTAATAATAATAATAAAATCTATGATGCTTGTGCTAAAGGAAAATAAAAGCGAGTTTCTTTTAAATCCATTAATGACGTATCAACTAGTAGAGTATTACAATTGATCTATATAGATCTTTTTGGGCCAACTAGAACTACTAGCTTGGGTGGAAAACAATATGCATTTGTCTTGGTAGATGACTATTCTAGATATACTTGGGTTCTATTCTTAAGTACTAAAGATGAATCATTAGAAAAATTCATCACATTTTCAAAAGTAATCCAAAACGATAAATTTTACTCTATAACTAGTGTTAGGAGTGATCATGGCACTGAATTTGAAAATCTTGGATTTACTGAGTTTTGTAATTCTAATGGTATTAGTCACAATTTTTCAGCACCTAGAACCCCTCAACAAAATGGAGTTGTTGAGAGAAAAAATTGAACTTTAGAAGAAATGGCTAGAACCAGGCTTTGTGAAAATAATTTGCCAAAATATTTTTGGGCGGAAGCCACAAATACCTCTTGTTATGTTGTAAATCGAGTAATGATTAGGCCAATTTTAAAGAAAACTCCATATGAAATTTTCAAAAATAAAAAGCCTAACATTAGCTATTTTTATCATTTTGGATGTAAATGTTTTGTTTTGAACAACGGTAAAGAAAACCTTGGCAATTTTGATGCTAAAAATGATGAAG